GGTGGTACCTGCTATGATTACATCAGTGCATACTGACTGTGATGGTACCTGCTATGATTACAGCAGTGCATCCTGACTGTGGTGGTATCTCCTTTCACTACAGCAGAGCATACTGACTGTGGTGGTACCTGTTTCCACTACAGCAGTGCATAATGACTGTGGTGGTAGCTGCTATGACTACAGCAGTGCATACTGATTGTGGTGGCACCTGCTATGACTACAGCAGTGCATACTGAATGTGGTGGCATCTGCTTTCACTACAACAGTGCATACTGACTGGTGGTACCTGCTTTCACTACAGCACTGCATACCGACTGTGGTGGCACCTGCTTTCACTATAGCAGTGCATACTGAGTGTGGTGGTACCTGCTTTCATTACAGCAGTGCATACCGACTTTGGTGGGGCCTGCTATGATTACAGCAGTGCATACTGACTGTGGTGGTACCTGCTATGTTTATGGCAGCGCATACTGTGGTGGTACCTGCTGTGATTACAGCAGTGAATACTGACTGGTGGTACCTGCACTGATTACAACAGTGCATACTGACTATGGTGGTACCTGTATGATTACAGCAGTACATACTGACTGTGGTGGTACCTACTATCACTACAGTAGTACATGCTGACTCTATAGCAGTATATATCGACTCTATCGCACAAACTACTCACCTGACAGAGTGCCGTGGTGAGGCCTAGTCCCGTGCAGAGCCCCCGGCCTCGCCTAGATTGCCCACCCGGCTGAGGCTGGCGGCTGGCCCGCTATCCGTGCCCGCCCCCACCATCCCCCCGCCCACGCTACAATAATACTATGAAAGCGCTGTAATATTAGTATCTACCGACCCTGTAGTAGTAAGTGCACACATTGGGATGGGGGGAGGGGGAAGAGAACATGACACTTTGATGAATTTACCTCAGCGTTGTGTGTATTTTTTTTGCATTTTGAACGCGAAGGAGAAATCCCCCCCCCCCACCCTCCACCGATGACACGTGTGCGTTGCTAGTTGCAACCCCCGGGCAGTTTTAGGGTCGCGAGGAAATAATTAAAGAATGAAATATAGCACTAAATTGTTAATGTAACTACTTTAAAGTTGACGGATGGGAAAACGGAATAGCGCTGGCTCACCACGGCGCTTACGGCATGGTACCAGGCTACTCTTTTTTAAACGTAAACCCCACGGTTTACAGACGGACAGATGGACAGACAGACAAAAAATGCCTTTTATATGTAAGACTAGCGGTAAGTACCCCACGTTGCCCGGGCGAAAAGACAGACACACACATCGACCTACATACACAGACATTAAGCCACACACACAAAGACATCTACTTACACACACACACACATATGCACTCACACACACTGACATCGACTTTAGATACACACACATGGAGTTACACACGCAAATTGACGTACACACATACAGCGACTGACACACACACATGCGTAGACTGTCACACACATTGACCAAAGCACACATATGGACTTACACACACACAGTATTGACTAAAATAGACACACATGGAGCCATGCACACACATGGACTTAGACACTCACACACATCGACTCGCACACATCGACTCGCACACATCGACTCGCACACATCGACTCGCACACATCGACTCGCACACATCGACTCGCACACATCGACTCGCACACATCGACTCGCACACATCGACTCGCACACATCGACTCGCACACATCGACTCGCACACATCGACTCGCACACATCGACTCGCACACATCGACTCGCACACATCGACTCGCACACATCGACTCGCACAGACACAAAGACGAAGATCCCCCATATAGCCTTAACAGACTGAAGGGGCAAGTGCTGTTAGCGAGCACCTATGAAGGCCGGAACAACACACGAGGGGGTGGGTGGCCAGCACCACGCCCGACCGCCTTTGTCTCCCTAGTGGCAATGTTTACACACCGCACCAGGTACTCATTTGAGGCTGAGTTGACCTAGGGGAGGCCCGGGACCGGTTCAGATAATCGTCACTGGTGTTCGCCGTGAGTGGGAATCGAACCCGTGTCACGAGGTTCGTAGCGCAGCGTGCTAACCGCTACACTACCGCTCCCCACTAGATACACACACATGGAGTTACACACATATCGACTCAAACACACATCGACTTCCACACACACATATGGACTTACACACACTTATATGAACTAACACACAAACATATAGACTCGCACACACATACACATCGACGTACACACACACACACATCGATTGACACACATAGACACACACACAGTGACTTACACACATGGAGCCATACACACACATCGACTAACACACACACAGCGACTGACACACACACACATGGACTGACACGCACACTTGGACTTACAGACACACTTCGACATACACACACACACATCTGGCGTTGCCCGGGCAAAAAAGGCACAGACACATATCGACTGACATACACACATGGACCTAAACGCACACACATATGGACTCAAACACACAGACACATCGACTGACCCACACATATCGACTTACACAGTAATCCCCGATGATGCCACAGCTAGAGCGATTTTCTCTCTCTGGCGAGCCTTAGCGAGAAGCAGTTTGAAAACAAAGGTCTTGCCAGTACTGGCAGGTGCATCAAGGGAAAAAAAGACTCGATTTGTAGTCTCAATGTCTTCCAAGATTTTCGTGTAGGCTTCTATTTGTGCATCCATGAGCTTTGGTTAATTTTACTAAATACATTTAAGAATCTGTAAAGCATAATAGTTTTGTATGGTGTGTATGCCATTGTGACAAATGCAGAATTTATTGAAATGTTTGTAGCTACATGACGTAACAGAAAGAATCAAAGATGAAATCCTGCAGTGACGAAAGCTGTAAGTGAAGAGAAGTAATGTAATAACAGGAACGTGATATTTACCATAATGGTTGTACTAGAACTTGAGAGTTAACACAAGAATAATGATGATATTTGAACGTGAGTTCACATAAGATAATGAAGATGTAAGTAATGGGCAAGTAATAAACCGAAAATATTTGTTTATCGATTTATATGGTGTGTATGGCATAGTGACAAAAGCAAAATGTATTTAACTGTTTGTTGGTACAAGACATTACCGAAACAGGCAAAGAATGACAATTCCTGCAGTCACAAAAGTTGTAAGTGAAGATAAATAATGTAATAATATTAAGGTGATATTTGCATAAAGAGGTGTATTTGAAGGTGAGTTGATAGAATAATAAAGCTGAAAGTAAAAGGCAAGTTAACGGGAAGAAAAAATATGTTGTTGTGAGCACACAAACAAAAGAATAAATTGTTTCAAAGGTAGATTTAAAGCTTTCGTGACTGCAAGGATCCATACTCTTTGGTTCTATTCGGTAAAGTCACGTATTTTTTACCTACGTGACTTTACCGAATAGAACCAAAGAGTATTTCAAAGGTGATTAATAAAACAACAGTTTTGTACGTACGTGATTTTAGCGTAAGAAGTAAGGGGATTTTTACTTATCATAGGCGTGGTGAGGCCTAGTCTCGTGCAGAGCCCCCATCCTAGCCTACATTGGCGAGCCGGCGGAGGTGGCACTACCCCCACACCCCCGCCAGCATCCCTCCGCCCGTGCAACAATAATGCTATCTAAGATTCTAAGCAGTATAATATAATAATCTAGGGACTCTGTAGTATAAGCTGGATGCATCGTGTTGGGGGGGGGGGTGGGCGCAGAGGACATCAGACTGTGAAGGAAAATCCGCAGCGTAATGTGTATATTTATTGCATGTTAAAGGCGTAAAAGAAGATGTCTCCCGTGAGCTCGACCGAAGGCGTACCACTTGGCAGGGTTTGCTCCCCCCCCCCCCCCCCCCCCCCCCAGGCAATTGTCGTAAGTTGGTACGGTTGATCCTGCGCAATAAGTAAATAATTAAAATAATAATGGCACTAATTGGATAATTAAACTACTTTAAAGTTGACGGATGGGAAAACGGAATAGCCTATTCCCACCGTGGGGCTTAGGGCGTGCTGCCTGGCAATTTTTTTTCAACATAAACCTCACCGTTCGAGAGCCAAATCCCTCGCAAGCACGCGCGCGGGGGGACTTTGATATTTAACATGTTAATATCTGATTGGATCAATTTTGGCCACAAAACAGAAGTAGGGTTGAAATGTTATTTTGATTGCTATTGTCAAAACAAATCAAAATAAAAAACATTCCATGCTTGCAAAAAGAGAATCATGTTTCCTTAAGCCCTGATGCCACTGAGGCTTGAATTGTTTAATGTTCCAAGGACACTAAAGTTGGGTGCTAACAGTGTATTTATGAAGGTAGGTGTTGGCATGACTGACAGCACGAGATTCCAGTATTACAGTACTGTTTACCCGTGTTCTACTGAAATGTCCCAGCTGAGCCCTCATGGTATGAATGGTTTTGCAAAGAGGTCCTCAGCTTTAGTGAATACATATTTTACAAATCCTTATGGACACCCTCTATCTACCACTCTTAATCCTACTTACGACAACTAATGTGCTGTACTTCGATCGGGAGAAGAGCTCTGCAAGGCATTCTTGCAGGGACGTGTGTGTGTCAATGAGGCCCACCGAAACTATTTTAAAGTCTTATTCAGCTTTAAGTACGGAAAAGGTTCCCCACCGCTGCTCTACGGGTATATGCAGCGTGTGTATGCGTGTGTGTGTGCGTGGTGGGGAGCGGTAGTGTGGCGGTTAGCGCGCTGCGCTATGAACCTGGCGACCCGAGTTCGATTCCTGCTCACGGCCAACACCAGTGACGATTATCTGAACCGGTTCTGGGCCTCCCCTAGGTCGACTCAGCCTTAAATGAATACCTGGTGCGGTGTGTAAACATTGCCACTGGGGAGAAAAAGGCGGTCGGGCGTGGTGCTAGCCACCCACCCCCTCGTGTACCGTTCTGGCCTTCATGGGTGCTCGCTAACAGCACTTGCCCCTACAGTCTGTTAAGGCTATACGGGGGATCTTTGATCTTTGTGTGTGCGTGGGCAGAGGCATGTTGTACCGCAGCCTTCACCACGCAACTGGAGCCGACCACCATTAGCCGAGTTGAGGACACCTACTGGAACCTGTGCGGCAACCTGAGCACCAAGTGAGCGTTTCTCTCTGCACTCCCCCCGGGGGGTTTATATCGCTGTCACAAGAGGTAAAACGTGCAGCCGCGCTCACGCCATTGCTGGCAGAGGGGCCTCCACTAGAGGGAGTTCTAGAGAGCCCCCTCGAGAGGGTAATTTGGCCTACTCTTTCACGCTGTGGTAGGAGAACCCACACTCGATCCCAACACACGCAACCTGTCAATTGACTAATGATGGTGTATCCATTAAGTATGCAGTACTTGAATAGGGAGAGAGACAGGGTGATTCAAGACATTTGTTGCAAATGCCATGCCAAGAGATTGAATCGAACCAGCGACCTCTGGATTGCAAATCCAATGTGCTGATCATTACACCGCCTATATTGAAGCATTCAACTGCCTTCTGTGCTTGCGTTTATCCAGTTTTCTCCCGCATCCAAAATATGTCTCAACGAAATTGATTGAAAACCTCAATTCGGCAATCTACTTAAAAATTACCCTAGTCTTGAAACAATATTCTGTATTTATAACTGCGTATTGCTCTAATATACAGGATGGTATATTATTTAAATAAACATGACATACACAAGTTTGTTACTAATAGTGTGGAAGTGCTGTCAGGGCAATTGCTCTTCGTGTCATTTGAAGATCTGAAGCCCCGTGAGAGGGTGGCATGGCGTAGCCTGCAGCCGAATTCACTCCCGATTTCATTTGCCTCCCTATAGTTGAGGTCAGTACACTGTACAAGTCCCTTTAAACCGAGTCACCCTAAAGCAGGGCTAGAGAAATATTTTCCTGAATGCCGGTCAAATAAGACTTGAAAATATGTTAATTAGGCCACACGATATACGGCACGAAACCTTGCTCTTGCTATTACTGCACGCTTTAAGTGCTTCGCCAGAACTACTTGAAAGACAACAAGTCACTGAGTGCGCTAAAGTTATAAACACAGTGTTTCCAGGTCAAGAAAATGTCCCCTGTTGAATGCGATTAGTGTGGCTAAGATGCTTACAGCAGTGTCCCTGGTAGACTGGAGTAGGTGGCACGTGACAAGTAGCTGCAGCCATAACGAGATTTATATCGGGGCAGTGTGCCCTGGGCGGGAATATTTTCTGGACTGCTGATCTCAATGAAATGAATCCCTGGCTAACCAGTAGAGTAGCGCACACACTAATCTTGCGCGTACACAGCGGCGTGTACTGCTGGCGTATGTGTGCGTGATGCCGCGTGCGTAACTGATTGCCGCTGTAGGTGCCAGGCTTTCATGAAGCGCAACGAGTGCTTCTACCGCTGCTCGCCGCACGCTGCCGACTGGATGAACCCTTCCTACAAGAGTGGCCTGCTTCATGTGCCCATTTGCTCCAGCTACTGCAGTGACTGGTACGTTTGCCTGGGAAGGATTTCTTAACCCCTTCTCCACTGGCACGTCCAAAACCGTGCCAGCGTGGGAGCCATTGCGGTTTGGGTGGTTTTCAAATGCCTATTTGCTCAGCTAAGCTAGAATGGTCCTATGAAACTCTGGCCAAACAAGACGTCTGCATCTGCCATTGAGCCACGCTGGGCCAAGAGTGGGGTTAACTGTCTCCTTCAGCAGCACAACTCAGGTTTTGCAGTGGGGAAAAAAACAAAAACCTGGCGCCTCCTGAATTGCAAGGATGCCAATTCAGGGGGTGCAATTTTCCCATCTCAGAAATGTGATATTTACCTGCGTAGTCAGCAGAGGGCTGGGCAGCAAAATCCAGTGCTGCACTATACTATATTCCAACATCGACGTTCCCTGCATTCATCAACCCGCACTGACCACGTTTTGCATGGCAAGAAAAGCTCTTCATCTAAATGTACGAAAAAATAATCGTATATAGTTCCTATTATTTGTAATATATTGAGTCGTTCACTCAGGCTTTTTTTATTTTATTGGTTACGCTTGTTTACCCAGAAAGGCCTCACTGAGTCTCGAGAACCTTTTTCAGGAGGTTCCTGCTGACTTTACACAGTAGGGGGCGACTGTCTCTACGTTTGTTTCCCAATTCAGTCATTTGCGAGTATAATTATTTTCAAATTTGGACCAAGGCGCTGGCACACATCGGCCTACTCTGAGGGAACTTTAACATCCGCTGTGAAGCACACATTGCATTGTATTTCCTGGCTAATAGAGCCCCAGAATTATTGAACCAAGTGTGACATACGCACTTCCATGGCTTGGACATCTCACCGGCCCTGGCTGAGCCAGTGAGTCTAGAGTCCCGTGTGCGATAGCGGAGCTGCGACACTCTGACCGGCCGTCTGCTGTGCGCGCGCCAGGTATGAAGCGTGTCGGAGCGACCTGACCTGCGCCCGTAACTGGATGGAAAACTTCAGCTGGAATGTGACCAACAGCTGCCGCAACAGCTGCATTCCGTTCAGCGAGGTATGGCTGCCTTTTTACATTATGAGCACGCATACTGCTGCCACAGTTAAAACTGTTGCTGTTATGCTTGACTGGCAGTGGGTCGAAGCATCCTCTATCCCAGCAGCTCACTGCTATCAGTCCAACCGTGCCTTCAGAGCAAAGTGGACCAATTTGGTGCAGGCAGCTATTTTCATTTCCTTCACTCAACTTCACTGAGCCCCTCAACCGATATCAACGACGGCATTGAACCCTACCAATTGATTATTCTTAACATGGTGGCAGTCAAGTCACCTACTTATGACATTGCTCTTTTTCTGGTTACTGTGTCCCGTGAACTTTACTCGTTGATTCCACCACCCACATTGAGGACTCGGTTCTACCAGACACCGACTGTTTCCTCTTAGCCACACTGTGTTCAACCACCTCCCACTGCACTGCAGAACACAACAACACACTCGCCCGCTCACTCACCCACTGACCAATTCACCACACTGCAGATCACAACACTTTATTTTCTTCTTCTGCATTTTCCCATCGCACTACTCCATTTGGGAATTTCCTCCCATTGTCTCTTCTCAAGTCTATACAATACCCTTTCTCAATTCCCAAAACTATTGTCTACTGTACCATCAATTGTGCTATTCGTTGCTGGCTGCTTGGCGTTTTGGACACGAGTGCAACTGTGATGAGAAGAAGAAGAAAAGAAAGAAATGCGAATGGCCCTTCTGTCAACCCACTGTGGATGAGCCCCCCCCCCACCACTCTGCGAGTCATGGACGTTATTTAACCATGCCTCACCATGCTGGTCAAGGGGGATTGCTGAGGGGTAAAGAGATAAGCTCAGGTATAGGTGCTAGATGGATTGTTACATTGCATGGCCATGACAGAGGGGCGATGGGTTTGGGAGCCCTTCATCCAGCAGTGGAATAGATCGTTGCTTATGACAACGTTGATATTTTTCAAACTACAGTACATTATGTCGCATATCTGACTCACTGGGGGATTGCGGTGAATACACGTAAAGGTCGAGTATGTGAACATCTGCAGTTGCACTACCATGCGCCATAAAGGTTAACAGACAAAAATAATGCACAAACGTCTTTAAACACAGGGAAAGGCTTCACTATGCTTGAGTAGTGATCGAATGAACGTGAGATCAGAACACACGACTGTGTGAGGAGAGGTTGAATTTGTGCACTTCTATAGAAAATGACCAGTATGTCTTGAACAATTACTGGGCTACCTGTATTACTCATCAGTGGTTCCTCCAATGCAATTTATGCCACAGCAGAATTTAGGATAAGCCGTTGCTTGCCCTTCTTCTCAGCGTGACACATCATGCCATGTTTTAATGCTTAAGCCTGGCTTTGCTAGGAATTCAATGTCATGCCACATGGCAACCGAGGTGGATTGTGCTTAACGAGAATAAGTGCCGATTACGTTCTTAAACACACTAAATTGCTCATTAGGCGAGTGGTCATTTTCCAAATGGGGACTTTGGTGTAGGGTTTGTACGTAGCTGGCCAGTTGTGACAGTTGAATATATTTTTGGTATGGATACGAGTTGAGTTGCAACTATAAATCCTTGTACAGTATGTATTCACGATGATGGAGACAACGCCATACATTCATACTGGATAGCATTGTCAAAGAACCATCGTACATTAGCTAATGCAAGTTGAATGTTACAAAAAATATACGTTGTGTTTTTCCCTTATATGGAAGGTGGTGAGCTCAAATCTTGGTTGGGGGGTCGATCTAGTCAATCATCCTTCCAGGGTCATAAAATGACTCCCGACTTTGAGGGGAAGTCAAGAGTCATTGTCCTATGGATAGACCACCCCACCATACGATTGTGGAATTTGCACCAATGTCTCAGGCCGTAAAGTCGAGATGAGCACTGCTTCAATGCTGTGTTTTTATGCCATGATTTGGAGCGGTGGCACAGCGGTTAGCGCTCTGTTATGAATGTGATTCCCGAGTTCGATTCCCTGCCACAGCTAACTCCCCTTGAGGTATGGTCAAACAACCCCCTTAACCAATACAGTGTGGGAAGGACTTCATCCAAGAGTAGATTGACAAAAGCACAGAGATATTATGTTAAAATATAGTATATATTTCTATGGCTCAGCCACTCCCACCCCATGCTCCACACACTCACAGCACGAGAACGGACTGTTTTACGTGACTGTCAGAATATTCATTTATACTGGAGGAATCCGATGAGCTATCAAATGTCCAGTAAGGGCGGGCCAGAAAGTTACTGTGGAGCTGCAAGAAAAACAATCATATAGATTGACAACTGGCCTGTATGCGTATATGTAGAATTGCTCAAATTTTTAAATGTAACATTAACGGGAATTAATAACTAAAATTTTTCTTTTTGCAAGAACAATCCATGATAATTTGCGTGCACAGGTCGATATCACCTGTGCTGAGCTAAGGGGTTTCACATTTGGTCAGAGGTTTTCACTGGATATTAACCACGTCCTCCCTATTATGCTTGTTGTTAATAGTCAGTCTTCAGTGTATTGTTTTTGAAAATCATAATTTGATCTGCAATCGTTTCTTGACTGAATAAATGATCTAGAATGTATCTGTGTTCTGGTGCCTGGAGATGTACTTCACGGCAGGCACAGTATAAATAATAAACGACGATGATACGCTCGCCCTCCTGGCTACAGACTTAGCAACATAGAAATGTATAAATCCATAACCCGTGCCTCTGCATGAGCTTAAACGCTCATGCAGTTCCGAACGGCCTTTGCCTGTAAGTCCTACCCCTCCTGACTGTGTAATCATTCACCCCCCAGTGGAGCCGATGCTCGAATCACTGTTGAACCAGGCCTGACACATTTTTGTTGTCTCAGTCGAGCCACTCACCTTGATATTGAAAACGCGCATTGTTAAGACGATTGACAACGGTCAAGTCAGAGCACTGAGACAGCACCTGCTGTGTTCCCGATTTAAAATTATATTCATACCTCAGCCATGATCTGGCCACTGCTGGACGAATTCCTTCCCCGCATTGCGAAAAGCCATCTATAGATCTTGCGCATGAGCTAATCTCATTGCTCCGTCTCTGTCGTGGTGATGCGCTAAAATACGAGACAATCCCTCCTTTGGCTGCCATTCCATCACAAGTCTTGTCTATCAGCTATTACCTCTTATAGCAATTTGTCCTGTCCAAACCCACTTTTATCTCTGTCTATGATTGGCATTTATTCTCTGATACGTGCATTCCTCTTTTGATGTCTCTCATTTGTAATTTGCAGCGTTAAACTGGCATTTGGATGATTCGTTCGCGTGGTCAGACGATCGCTGGCCCGTTGACCTGGTCGCCATGAAGGCTCGGTCGGGGGAGAATCCGTCGTCCCTGCTGGCAGGTTCCGATTTCGAAGCCGAGGCGGCGATGGTCGAATCCGTGTGGAGCAATAGATGCGCGTGGATGCTCCGAGCGGCTCATAGCGAGCACATACTGTCGTCGTCCATCGCTTGAATGACGATGCGCAGCTCGCGTGCCAGTTCCAGCATCTTCTGGAGGACGATAGCATCGATGGCTTCATCGTCCATGCGGGGGTAACCCGCTCTAGCCATCGCGAGTAGAGTGGTCTGGAACTGCTAGTGGAAACTCTTTAGGGTGGTGTCACCTACCATAAAACCGGCTGCGGACGTCGGACGGAGGCCCGTAGACGTCGGACATCCGTCGGAGGGCCGATTGTAAAGTCGCCCTTTGTTGCCTGGGGATGGTGAGGAGCGAGACGAGAGCGTCGTCGTCCAGGGTGGTCGGTAGCACTTGAAGCGCCTGTGCGTCCGACCAGCCCACCATTACGTGGCTCAGGAAGCGACGCTAGAACGCCACCCAGTCGCCCCCTGTAGACACGAATTCACGAAAGATGGGCAGGCGCTGTTGGAGGGCGGACGTAGTTTCTTCTTCAGCCTGCACAGTCTCGAGCCGGAAATCGGTGATTGCCTGGCCCGTTCACGTATGATTCATACAATCTAGGGGAGTTCACGTGAATGCGACTGCAGCGCATAGCAGTGATACATATCATGAACTTACGTCCACTGTCCGTGCTCTCTGAGGCCATGAATGATCCACACGTAATGTGCAGCCCATTACGTATATTGAACTAATTTCGCACCGTACATAGCCAACCGTGCTAAATCGAAGGTGCAGGGGAAGGCCAACGCACTCAACACAATATTTATACAGTGAGAGAAAAAAGTATTTGATCCCCTCCTGATTTTGTACGTTTGCCCACTGACGAAGAAATTATTAGTCTATAATTTTAATGTTAGGTTTATTTGAACAGTGAGAGACAGAATAACAACAAAAAAATCCAGAAAAACGCATGTCAAAAATGTTATGAATTGATTCGCATTTTAATGAGGGAAATAAGTATTTGACCCCTCTGCAAAACATGACTTAGTACTTGGTGGCAAAACCCTTGTTGGCAATCACAGAAGTCAGACGTTTCTTGTAGTTAGCCACCAGGTTTGCACACATCTCAGGAGGGATTTTGTCCCATTCCTCTTTGCAGATCTTCTCCAAGTCATTAAGGTTTTGAGGCTGACGTTTGGCAACTCGAACCTTCAGCTCCCTCCACAGATTTTCTATGGGATTAAGGTCTGGAGACTGGCTAGGCCACTCCAGGACCTTAATGTGCTTCTTCTTGAGCCACTCCTTTGTTGCCTTGGCCGTGTGTTTTGGGTCATTGTCATGCTGGAATACCCATCCACGACCCATTTTCAATGCCCTGGCTGAGGGAAGGAGGTTCTCACCCAAGATTTGACGGTGCATGGCCCCATCCATCGTACCTTTGATGCGGTGAAGTTGTCCTGTCCTCTTAGCAGAAAAAAGACCCCCAAACCATAATGTTTCCACCTCTATGTTGGGGATGGTGTTCTTGGGGTCATAGGCAGCATTCCTCCTCCACCAAACACGGCGAGTTGAGTTGATGCCAAAGAGCTCCATCTTGGTCTCATCTGACCACAACACTTTCACCCAGTTGTCC